CCCTAAGCCTAGTGGCCCTTCTGTCATCATCCTTCAGGATCCGTGGGCTGGCTGGGCTCAGCTGGGCCCTTCCCACCTGGGGCCTGCCTTGGGCAGCTGCAGGCTCGGCTGGGCTGGCGTCCAAGGCAGCTCTCGCGCGCGCCCGGCTATGGCGCTGGCTGGTGGCTTGGAGCCCAGTGGACAGGAGCCCCCACGTGGCCTCTGCGGCATGGAGTGCTCGGAGCCCAGCAGTGAGGCCACGAGAGATGCAGACAGGAGCTGCAGGGTCCCCTAGGGCCTTACCTGGGAGTTCCACGACGCTCACCCACCCACCACATTCGGCTGGGCTAGCCTGGAATGGAATGAAAGGCCTGGGATGGCGTTCTGTTCAGCAGGTGTTTATGGACCACTCACCATAGGAGAGCCCACTGGGGCCAGACCCTGGCCTCGCCGTGGAGGGGCTTCGTCAGCGGGTTCGTCCCAGGGTGGCCGTGGGGATGGCACGGTCAGAGAGAGCGAGCATCAGAGCAGGCAGGGTGGAGGGCAGGAGCCTTTCTGGGTGGCCAGGTGCTCTTGAGACCTGGGAGGGGTGAAGGCCAGAATGACTCTCTGAAATGGGAAAGTCGGGAGGAGGCCGTGTTTGGAGGCATGCGATTTAGAACTGGTTCTTCCCTGTCTTTCCATCTCAAATGATAAGCTGCCCTCCAGGGCTTGGAGACCTAGTGTGCAGGGGCGTCTCTCTGGGGCCACCCCCACCATAGACAAAGGCGAGCTTCACACTGACAGTGGTGATAATGCGGCCTCCTGAGTCATCCACACAGTGACCGCAGAGGGACAGCCAGGCAGGACGGAGGCTGGGGCCGAGGGTCATGTCCCGGCCCTCACAGGCTGCAGTGACTCGCGCTTTTCCTTGTGTGGCAATAGCTGGCGTCTTCCCTTCTCTTAACCATGTGGTCACATCACACCTGCCTCAAATGTGACTCTCAATGGAGCCGTGACTCCCGCTCTGGTCTGTGGGGTCTCACAGGTAAGAGGTGGCATGGCCACCTCTTTTAGGGTGCCAAGGAGATCCTGTGTGGTCTAGATGAATCCTCCAGAGTCAAATTGATTGGAACTGTATTTACATCTGACCTCCAGTTGCTTAATAAAAAGAGTTGACTAAGTTATACATAGTTCAGCAATAATAACCAATCATAACTTCAGCAGATGCTGTGTCATCCTATAGGCTTGGGAACCAGGTACTGCAGTTAATTCCACACCTGACCCCAACTTCCTTCAACATTCCATATGTGTTTAATTAGGATCTGTGACCTCGGGCTGCAGCTGTGTCTCAGTATAAACTCTCCACTTAAATGAAAATTACCATGTCTGGCTTACATGGGTTATTGTTTTAAAAGAACTAGGCTCTAGGCCAGGCACAGTGGCTCACACCTGTAATCCTAGCACTTTGGGAGGCCAAGACAAGAGGATTGCTTGAGCCCAAGAGTTTGAGACCAGCCTGAGCAAGAGTGAGACCCTATTTCTATAAAAAATTTAAAAATTAGCCCGGCATGGTGGTGCATGCCTGTAGTCCCAGTTACTTGGGAGGCTGAGGCAGGAGGATTGCTGGAGCCCAGGAGTTGGAGGCTGAGGCAGTGAGCTATGATGACACCACTGCATTCTAGCCCACCAACAGAGCAAGACCCTGTCTCAAAAAAGAATTAGTCTGTAGTGAAGGATGCCAAAAAGTAACGGTGGATGCAACAGTACCTGATACTCCCATGAATCCAATAGGATGGTGGACACAGTTTTCTTGATTCTAATTGTATAGAAGCTCTGGGTCAATGGGAGTTCGGCTGTCAGAATTCCAAATAAATGGATTCTCCATGACTTCCTGGGTGTTGCTGTGTGCTCAGGGACCACACAGAAGGGAGCATGCCTGCCTTGCCCCTCCAGATGTGGGTGTCCTTGAACATGAGAATAGCTCGCCAGCACCTTTGCTGCTGTGTCTGCCACTGGCCCCGAGGCTCTCAGCAGTCACACCGGAACAGTCGTCTCTTCTCCCATGCAGTTGCAGGGAGCCCAGCAGAGGCTGAAGCTGGCCCAGTCCCAGCACTCTCAGGAGGTCCAGCAGCTACAGGAGCAGGTGGGCCGGCTGGTGCCTCAAGACCACGTGGCTAAACTACAGCACCTGCTCAGCCTCCAGCAAACACAGCAGGTGAGTGAGGGCCAGCCGGGGTGTGAGGAAGGCAAGGTTGGATCACCAGTCCCCAACCAAAAGCTGTCCGAGTGTGAAGCCCAAGGCCATGGGGAGGGCAGCCCAGAAGCCACCTCCAGCCTAGTTGAGGTCTAGTGTGGAAGCTACAGGGTCCTGATCCTCACTTTGACAATAAGGGACTTTCCAACAGGGGTCTAGGTTGGATCAAGGAGAAAGGGAGGGTGGTGGGGAGCCAGGTGACCCTGAAGGTTCCTCTAGCCTGGGGCTGCAGGTCCTCCCAGACACGTCTGTCTCCAGGGCTGCACAGGTCAGCAGCTGGGCCTGTGTGTCTGTTGGCTGCTCTGAGGCCACACGCTAGACATTAGGGGCGACACACTCAAGCTGCTTGTAGCCTTTAAAGGTGGTGGTGGTGAGGAAGTTGCTCTAGGGGCTGTGGGACCACCTGTCCCAGGGGCAGCTGCTCCCAGCCCCTGCCTAGTGGCATTGTGGGAGCGCAGGCCAGAGGGTGCCAGTGCTGATTTCAAAGAAAAGCCAGAAACTGGATTTTTATGTGAGTGTTTCCAGTTTTCAAATGATGCATCTAATTTTAAAGGATTCTGAAACCATGATGCAGAATGAAAATAATCTGCCCACAGGTACATACATATGGCCCACAAGCACCGTCCCTGCAGTGGGTTGTTGGGTGCACACTGATCTAGGTGTTAGAGAAATGAGCACACAGGGCAAAAACTGGAGCTGTCTTGAGCTTACATTCTAGTGGTGGTGGGGAAACAACGAGATGGAAAATAAAACAGGAGTCGTGGTGAGCAGTGCTGTGGCCAGGGAGGCCACGCAGTCAGACAGGCGAACAGAGCCGGCCTCAGCGGGCGGCCCTTGGGTTTGGAGGAGGAGAGGGAGCAGGCCGCCCGGCGACCTGGGCAGTCTGCAGGAGCAGTGGTGCGGAGGCCTGCGGCAGGTGAGTGCTGGGCACAGTTAAGGACAGGAAGGAGCGGAGGGAGGGAGGAGAGGGCAGGGTGCCGGGGCTGTGAGGCGGCGTCTGGAGATGCAGAGTGCTGCCCGAATGGTCTCTGGCGTGTGTATCCCGTGTGTGAGTTTAATTCAGAAGGCTGAGAAAACAGCTCACTCCCGAAATTCACAACACCGTTCATAGTTCATGGGGGACATTCTGTGGGGTTGGTTGGGGGGCGGGGGGGGTGGCTTCGTTGGTGGAGTGGGTGGGTGGGTTGCTTGGTGGGTGGGTTCAGTTGTTTGTTTGGCATGCATCTTCCTTAATGATGCCTTTCCTTTCTTTATGCCTGTTTGTTTAGCTTTAGTTAATGATTGATTCTTTATTGACCAAAGAAACTTAATCAGAACTCCTCTAGAATTACACACTGACACATCTAGAGAAATTCACGTTGTGGTCGTTTATAATTAAAATCCTAGGACCGGTTCTTTGAGGACACATCAGTCTGCTGGTTCTCCCTGAACTGTGATACAAAGTGAAGCGACAGCGCCGTGACACGTGCGGGACATTCTTAACTGTTGCTCTGTGCGGATGAAAGGTTACCTACAGTCACATTCAGATGTGTACATCTTAGCTGATTTCCATTTCAGAGTAAATAAGACTTGAGAGGATTCTTTTCACAATGTAAAACGCCATCTTTTACAAATGCCATTTACATTTGTAAAATGTAACCTCCTTTTGTGGCAGGAGGAACATGAGAAACAGCTGAAAGCCACAGAGGAGCGGCTGGGCGAGGCGGAGGTGATGCTGCAGCACGTGGAGATGCTCCTCCAAGAGAAAGTGGAGGAGCTGAAAGGACAGGTGAGTGGCGGGCGGCTGTGACGTCCGTGTTCGCGGCCTCTCCGGGCGTTTGCCTGTTACGGGTGCGCAGCTGCTGGTGCGGGAGGCTGTCTCGTCACAGAACTCCAGCGAACCCGTGTTCATTTGCAACCGCTGAACCTGGGGCTCTGTCTAACCTTCATTTTGAGAATGTGCAAATATTTTTCAGAAGATTAACACTTAAAAGTAACCAGTAGAAGATTGATTTTACCAAATACATATCCTACACTGTAGTACTTTGCATGTATTTTCCTTTGGGAATGGCTTAAGATCTCTTTTGAGCGGTGTTCACATAGTTTCAGAAAGGGCATTCCTTCGTTCATTTGCTTGTTCAGTCATTGAGCAGACGGCCCCGAGCACCTGCCATGTGGCGAGGCCTTGCTCTAGATAGGCCCTGAGATAAGGTCGTGCTAAACTCTGACCGAGGGAGAACGGAAGGGAAGGGCACTGCACGGAAGGTGGTCAGGACCACCGTGAAGAGCTGGCATGGGGCAGACTCCAGATGACCAGCGTGAGAAGCTCTAGCTGTGTCCCTAGCAGAGGCGCAGTGGCATTTTGGAAGGCTCACCAGGTGGGAAATGCACACGCCTCCAGGTGTGCTGGGGGACCTGAGGAGGAGGCACATTCCAGGCAGGCTCAGGGACGGCGAGGGCCAGAGCCCTCAGAGACCGTTGAGGAGGTGACCGTGGCTGGTGTGAACTGACAGGGTGTGGTTGGCAGGGCCCGTCGTCATGTCCTGTAGGCCAAGGTCAGGGGTTTGGGTTTTAACTTAAGTGGCAGTTAGAAACACCCGGAAGATTTTAAGTAAGAGCATGATTTGATCTACATTTTAAAAGAAATCACACTGGGGGAAAAAATAATTTGGGTTGCTACTGGGAGCAGAAACCCAAAGGTAGCCATAGCTGTCCTGATCTGTAAGAGCTGACGCAGAGCACCCACGGTGGGGACAGCATGGGGGCAGTGTCAGTGGTAGGGGCCACAGGCCTGGCAGGAGCCAGGTGGGCTGTGAGGTGGACACACCAACAGGCCTGGCCACACATCAGCGGCTCCAGAAGACGTTCAGTGCTAGACGGAATTCAGAGATGTGAAAACCTGGGGTAATACTTTATCCCATAGTGACCCAGTATGGTTCGATTTATCTGAGGGATCCGGAGCTGAGCCCGAACTTGAGACCTTTGTGGAAGGAGGGGTGTGCCCCTCCTGCCCAGCCCCTCCACTGCCCCTCTTGCTGCCCAGCTGTCAGGACCTCTGATGACCCACCTCACCGTCACTCCCGTGCACACGTACTGTTTGTCCCTTTGGCCTGGCAACACTTTGATTCTGGTTAAATCCTGTGGCTCCAGCACACTTGCCCTGGGCACGGAGCTCAGGCCTGTCCTGCAGCCTCTGCAGAGGCCCCTTCCCCTGCCTCCTCCCTGGGGCCCGCAGCTCCTCTGAACTCTTCTTGCTGTGAATTTGCTGCTGGTTTCACTGGAAAACCAGAGCGCCCAAAGAAAATTTGTAGCGCCCCCTCCGCATTAACTACCTCCCGCACCTTGGACACCCCCACAGTGCCTCCCACTCTCCTGGCTTCAGCAGTTCTGTTCCTCTTCACAGAAATACCCTTGAAAGGGCTGTCCCCACCACCTCACCTGCTGGCGCTCCTGTTCTCCTGGCCACTGGCTCAGGTCAAAACCTTGGGATCATGGCTGACTACCCCCCACCGTGTGTCTACATTTAATCTGTAGCCCCACCTTCAAAGTGGACAAACCCAGCCACTTCTCACCACCCTGTCTGCGTGCTACCTGGCCTCCTTGTTTCCTCCTTTATTCTCAGCACAGGGGCAATAGTGATCCTTTTAAAATGTGACTGAGGTCCTGTTCCTCCTCTGCCCAGAAACACCCAGTGTTCTCATGTCCCTTAGTAGGTGGCAGAGTTTTTACAGTGTCCTCTGAAGTTCTTTTGGATCTCTCCTTGGCTTCTGCCTCAAAGCCCTAACTCCTCTTTCTGCCTTCCCCTCAGCCATGGTTTCCAGCCACAGTGGCCTCCTGGCAGCTGCTCAGTTACCCTGAGCATGTACTAGCCACAGGGCCTTTGTGCATGCTCTTATCTCCGCCTGCAGCGTTCACGCCCAGACAGCCTTGTGGCTTTCTCCCTTTCTTAATTCACATCTCTGCTCACAGTGGCTGTCTCTGCTCACGGGTCAAAATGGGCACCCCTGGCCCCCAGCTCTATCCCCTGTTGGGTTTTCTTAGCACCCTTGTGCATGTTTTCCATCTACTCTTACTATTAGAATCTGCACTCCATGATAGCAGGGCTGTTGCCAGAGCAGGGGGCACACGTGGGGGCGCTCAGTAGCTGCCTGGCAAGTGAGTGAATGTGGCGTGGACTACAGTGGCCTCATGTTCCCATTGCTGACCCCTGTGTGGCCTGGCTGTTGTGTGCATGGCAACTGGCCCACGCCCCTGCTGTGAGGGTGGATACAGTATGTCCTGGGTGACATCATGGCCAGCAGAGCACACTGAGAGGAACCAGACACTTTCCTCATTCTTACGGTTTCGTTATTTTACATTGCACTGAATAACAGGGCCTTTGAGGACTTGATTTTGGTCTTAAGTCTTCACTTCATAGCACAAAGCTGCCTTAAAATTTCTCTACCACAGTTCAGCAAATTCTCAATTTCATCCCTCATGCCAGGATAACAAAAATTGTCATTATGTCCAGTATTTGTGTGTCAGAACTGTAAGAATCCAAAACGAGGGTTTGAACTAACGTGGATGAGGGCGGGTTGGTCTGCAGCATTTCTGTACCAGATTCACAGTAAAGTGTGGCTTCCTCCCTCTCCAGTTTGAAAAGAACACGAAGTCCAACCTGTTGCTCAAGGAGCTCTATGTGGAAAATGCTCACCTGGTGAAGGCGCTTCAGGTCACCGAACAGAAGCAACGAGGTGCTGAGAAAAAAAGCCGCATCTTGGAAGAAAAAGTGCAAGCTCTCAACAAACTCATCAGTAAGATTGCTCCCGCAGCCCTGTCTGTGTAGACGGCTTTCCTTTCCTAGGGGCACCCTTGGCCGCGTGGGGATTGTGAATCTTTGTTCGCCCCACACACATTTAATGGATTTCTACTACGTGCCAGATGCTGGGGAAATATACATGTTGCGAAAGACTACATTTTTATTGGCAGTCCTGAGTAATTTCCCATTGGAAAATTCTCACTTTTTCTATTCAATGGTGAGATGAATTATGGGGGCTCTCAGCAAAGAACAGCTAAAAAAGGCAAAATCGGGCTCTGTAGAGTTTTGCCATTTCTCTGTTCTGGCCTTACATCATTAGAACTCTGGACGGTGGGTCTGTACACACGTCCTTCTGGAAGGGCCTCACTCGCTGTGAACTGTCAAACAGGAGATAAAGGAGGGGAAGCCCCTTCTTTAGGGACTGCTCCCCCATGGGGGGATGTCTGGGCAGGGCTTATCTTCTGTGGACTCAGGGATGATGGTGTTTATTTGTGAATGCAATCTTTTCCTCATTGAAACGTCATCGCACTGGAAATTGTACTATATGTAAAAAAAAAAGTATAGTTTTATACCTGAAATATACATAAATTATAGCCATTTGGTTTATCAGAATGTACTACTGTAATATGAAAAGAATCACTGTATTTGTAATAATTTTTTTCTATTAAAATTGACTTGTTTTTATTTTACGTTATTTTATTTTTTATTTGAGACAGGGTCTCACTCTGTTGCCCAGGCTAGAGTGCAGTGGCATCACTATAGCTCACTGCAACCTCAAACTCCTGGGCTCAAGTGATCCTCCAGCCTCAGCCTCCCAAGTTGCTGAGACTACAGGCTTGAGCCAACACGCCTAGCTAATTTTTCTATTTTTTTTTTTAGAGACAGTTTTTGATGTTTCCTGGGAATGATCTCAAATTCCTGGCCTCTAGTGATCCTCCCGTCTTGGCCTCCCAGGATGCTAGGATTATAGGCATGAACCCCACTGTGTCTGGCCTGTTTTTAATTTTTTAAACTTTAAAATATTTCTAGTGTATAGAAAATTATTTCATAAGAAACATGTGGCCACCAATCAGATATATTAAAAGTGCCATCCTACCACAACATTGTGGACAGAGGTGAGGAGCCTATTTGGTTGCTCTCAAACTCTTCCCTCTTCCTGGAGGCAGCCACCATCCTGAAGCTGGCTCACCCCTCCCCACCTGCAGGAGAAAAACTTTTTATAGCACTATGGAAAGACACAAAAGACTAGAATAGATAGAAAGATCAACTCTTAGATAAGAAGACTCTGCAACATAAAAATTGACCAGTTCTTCTAAGTTTACTGATAAAGATAACTAGTCCTAATAAAATTACCCCAGAATTGGACAAGATAGTTCTAAAGTTTACATATACAACTAAGTAAGCAAACAAAACAATCAGGAAAACTCTGAAAAAGGAAGGACAATGCATGGGATCAGTTCTGCCAGTTATTAAAATACTAAGTCTCAATATAGTTTGTGTTAGCATTACTTAGGGAAAATTCATGGCATCAAACACACCTGTATTAGAATAGAGAAAAGGTCTTAAAATCAGTGAACTCAGCTTCTACCTTAAATACCTAGACAAGAAAGAACGAATTAAACCCAAAGGAAACAAGAAGGAAATGACAGTAGGCAGAAACCAAGGAACAGAACAGGAGCCCAGCAGTGACACGCTGCAGGTTATACCTGTTTCTGTACAGTTTGGTGCGACCACACTCATTTACATACGTCTACGCCTACTTGTGTGCTACCACAGCAGCCCTAGCAGCTATACCAGATTATGTTGCCTACAAAGTCTTAAGATACAGAAAAAGTTTCTTGACTCCTGAAATAAACAGAAAAAGAATTGAGAATATCAATGAAACCAAAGGCTGTTTTTTTCAGAAGATTAATAAAATTAATATACCTCTGGTCAGATCAGGATAAAAGAAACAATTTCCTAATACCAGAGATGAGAGGTGATATCACCATAAGGTCTACAGATAATGCATGCATAATAAGGCAGTATTATGAATAACTTTATGCCAATAAATGTGATAGCTTAGATAAAATGGAGAAGACACAAATTGCGAAAGCTCATTCAAGAAATGGGTAACCTGAATAGCCCTGTATCAGAGAAATTGAAATTGTGGTCAACCTTCCCACAAAAACCCCAGACCCAGATGGCTTAAATATGAATTCTGTTAAACATTTAAGATAGAATACCAAGTATATATTTAATACAAACCTGTGATATGATACACATACAGGTTTTCATCCACAGTTCCTGGCATAACACTCCCATAGCCCTTGTTGTAATGTTGGGGTACCTTAGGCCCCCCAAAATAGAATTGCTGCCTCTGTCCCTGTTTCACCTGCTCCTTGTTCTCCGCAGGGCAGACAACTTCCCTTGCTTTTCTGTTGTGGAGCCGGCCATAAAGACATTCTGACTTGCACTGTCTCATCAGGGGTCCTGCCCCACATGCTGGAGGAAGAAAGTTGCACAGAGAGGCCAACGACCTCAACAGACAGGCCTTGCTGGGTTTCCCCGCTCAGCCTACTAGTATAGCTCACGCCCTTTTTGTCCAGTCCCATTTCTACATAGTTGTCCATCATGCCTGTCCAGTGAAGTCTCCCTAAAAGGGCCAAGAGGACAAGGTTTGCAGAGCTTTGGGATAGCTGAACATGCAGAGGTTCCTGGAGGGTGGTGCACACACCACTTCCCACATGTGTTGCCCTACGTATCTCTAAATTTATATCCTTTATAATAGACCAGTAAAGGTGTTTCTCTGAGTTCTCAGCTGCTCCAGCAAATTAACCAAATCCAAAGAGGTGGATTTAAAAAAACAAAAGATTTGGATAGATATTTTACCAAAAAAGATACACATATTTCAAGTAATCACATGTAAAGATACTGAACACAATTAGTCATTAGAGAATTGCAAATTAAAATCAAGAATGGAAAAACAAGCACCACATATACTCACCAGCAAATTGGTCTTAACTGATCAGCACCCAAGTGGACACATAGGAATTACACTAATTGGGTATTGGGCAGGTGGGAGAGGGGAGGAGAGGGCGGGTATATACATACATAATGAGTGAGATGTGCACCATCTGGGGGATGGTCACGCTTGAAGCTCAGACTTGGGGGGAGGGGCAAGGGCATCATTTGAAACCTTAAAATTTGTACCCCCATAATATGCTGAAATTTAAAAAAAAATCACAATGAAATAGCACTACCTACCTATTAGAATGGCCAAAATTAAAAAGACTAAGCACACCAAGTGCTGGCCAGGATGTGGAAGAAGTGGAACTCTCACATGCAGCTGGTGTGAATGCAAAATGCATGACTACTTGGAAGATAGTTTGGCAGTTTCTTAAAAGGCTAAACATAAACCAATGTGAACCAGGCTTTCCACTCCTAGTTATTTACCCAAAAGGAAATATATGTCTATAGAAGACTTATACACAGATGTTCTTGGCATCTTGTTTGTAATAGCCAGAAATTAGAAACAATACTGTATTAACAAGATTGGGGGTAGAAGCGGTAGTTTCTCTCATTTGGTAGTACAAATTATTATAATTCCTGTAAGTTTTGGCAGGAGCCATTAAAGTTATTCTGCAGATAAAGCCATAATGTATGAAATCACATATGTATAAGGTTACTCACATTAGCGTTGTTTGTAATAGCAAAAGGTTGGAAGCAACTCAAGTATCCATCAATAGGGAAATAGATTTTTTTTTTTATTTCATCATATGATGGATTTACATATTGTTAGGGTTACAAATATTGCCCCTGCCCCCCTGGGAAATAGATTTTTAAGTATTTAACACTCTATAGTATTCAATTCCCTGGAGGTATTTAACATTTTGTATTAGTCTGCTAGGGCTTTCATAAAATACTACAGACTGGTGGCTTAAACAACAGAAATTTGTTCTCTCACAGTTCTGGAGGCTGGAAGTCCAAGTTCAAGGTGTTGGCAGCTTTTGTTGCTTCTGAGGCCTCTCTCCTTGGATTGAAGACGGCTGCTTCTTGCCGTGTGTTCACATGTTGTCTCTGTACATGCATATGTCTGTCTAAAGTTCCTCTTTTTATTAAGGACACAAGTCAGACACGAGCCTACCCATATGACCTTATTTTACCTTAATTACCTATTTGAAGGCCCTATTTCCAAGTACAGTCACATTCTGAGGTACAGATTAGGACTTTAACATTTAAATTGGGAGAAACAATTCGGCCTATAACAGTCACAAAGGATATCATGTATGTTTAGAAAAGAATGAGAAACTAAGTATGTAGTGTGGTATCTCTGTGGAAGGGAAAATCAAGAATTTATATTCATATTGTATTTATGTAAAAATACTCAAAATATAGCCATGAAACTAATACAAGTGGTTTGCTATGGGTATGGGACAGATAGATGGGGATAGAAGAGGAATTGAGATTTTTGTTGTCTACCTTACATATTTTGTACCATGTGAATATATTAAATGTTTTTTGTAAAGGTACAAAATAGAATTCACCCCATCCTAAATACTATCAATTGTGACAAGCGGGCTGGGCACCATGGCTCATGCCTGTAATCCCAGCACTCTGGGAGACCGAGACTGGTGGATCACTCAAGGTCAGGAGTTCAAAACCAGCCTGAGCAAGAGCGAGACTCCGTGTCTACCATAAATAGAAAGAAATTAATTGGCCAACTAAACACACACACACACACATATATATATAAAATTAGCCGGGCATGGTGGTGCATGCCTGTAGTCCCAGCTACTCGGGAGGCTGAGGCAGGAGGATCGCTTGAGCCCAGGAGTTTGAGGTTGCTGTGAGCTAAGCTGATGCCATGGCACTCTATCTAGCCCAGGCAACAAAAGTGAGACTGTCTCAAACAAACAAAAAATTGTGACAAGCAATGAGTCTTCTGAAATTTGTATCTTCCTCCCCCTCGTCCTAGAAGGTAAATACATTATTAGAAATACCATTTTCTTAAAGTAAGTTTTATAACTAAAAAAACCCCAGGAAAACAGCTATGTATTGGGAATGACCATATATATGTATAGAAAAGAAAAAAATTTGTCAATACATTTCAAAATATAGATTAAAATAGACTTAGCAAAACATAATCAACTAAAATTTACTCAAGAAAAAGTCCAAAAATTGACCAAAACCTAAAGAAACTAAAATTCATCAAAGATCATTATTTTTCCACAAAAAAAGATTCATCCCCAGACGGTCCTGTAGGTAGTAAAGCTATTTTAAAAGTCTACGTTTTTATTACAAATAGACAAAGGAATGAGGCTGGGTGTGGTGGCGCATGCCTATAACCCTAGCACTCTGGGAGGCTGAGGCAGGAGGATCGCTTCAGCCCAGGAGTTTGAGGTTGCCGTGAGCTAAGCTGACGCCATGGCACTCTACTCAGGGCAACAGAGTGAGACTCTGTCTCAACAAACAAACAAAAAGGCATGAGCACCAACGCAGTCCAGACAAGCGTACACCTCGCCATGATGCTACTTGGTGTCTTGTCTTCACCTGCTCTATCCCTTCACTGCTTCTGGGTCGTAGGACTGTGCTGAGTGATGGAGCGGGGCGCAAGCTGTGCCCATCCAGAACCAGGCCTCAGCTTCCTGAAAACGAGCAGCTCCCACTTCCACTGTCTTCACCTGGGGCACCCTGAGCTGCCAGGCCGGAGCCCTGCCAGCTTGCAGGGCAACTCTTGCTTGTCAGGCCACCGTCGGAATGCAGCTACATCAGAGCCCCGAGCAAGATCTGCAGAACTGCCCAGCTGAGCCCCAACTACCACAGAAACGTGAGGTCATAGAAAGGTGTGGGTTAAAGGTGCAAAGGTTTCCGTGGTTTGTTTCACAGAAATAGATAACTGGAAGTGCTGACAAGGCACAGATGCACACAGACGCACACACCCCCTTCCAAACTCTATAAACGAGCATCACGTAGAGTTGCAAAACTGCTCCGCAAAATATCAGCAAACCAAATCTTACGCTTCCCTAAATGGTTAACATACCAAGGCCAAGAAGAGTTTGGCCCAGAATGCAAGATAGTTGAACAAAATTCTATTTATATAACATGAGGGGGTTAAGTGAACACCACATGATCACTCAAGTTCCAAAAACCCACTTGGAAAAATCATATTTGTTAATTACCACTGTTTTGTTTGTATAAAATTATGGTATTGAATTTCTGCTGGGGTTTGGTTCAAGTTGCACTGGGGAGGCCACAGGTTTTGGTAATTTTCCTGGAGAAATATGGGATAGGAAGATAGAGAAACAGGACTGCAGCATTCAAAACCAAGTTAGGAAAAGGAGAAGGCACAGCTACCACCAGTGGCAGTCAACATCTTTCCGAACTTCCAGGCAGCAAAATCAATGAAAAAAAGAAATGAGGCTGGGCACAGTGGCTCAGGCCTGTAATCCTAGCACTCTGGGAGGCCAAGGTGGGAGGATCACTTGAGCTCAGGAGTTCAAGACGAGCTTGAGCAAGAACGAGACCCTGTCTCTACTAAAAATAGAAAAATTAGCCAGGTGTCATGGTGCACACCTGTAGTCCCAGCTACTTGGGAGGCTGAGGCTGGAGGATTGCTTTAGCCCAGGAGTTTGAGGTTGCTGTGAGCTAGGCAGATGCCCCTGCACTCTAGCTCAGGTGACAGACTAAAAAAAAAAAAAAAGAAAGAAATGAATTTATATAAATATTAGAATGTGGCCAAATCATCACAAGTACAGTTTTCTTACATGTATCAGCCAAAGCCTATTAGAAAATATAAGAGATCCACGTATCCAGATTCTTCTAAAAAAAAAAAAAAAAAAGAAAATATAAGATAAAAAAGAGTCTATTCACATTAGGAACAGAAACTAGAATGTAATTGGAAAAATACCTAAAAGAAATGGTCCTGCAGGATACCTGTGGGACGAGTTAACAGTGGCACAATGGACAGTAGTATCTAGTAGGGGAAGGGGTAACTTGCCTTCGTTTTCTACATTTTTATTTTTATCTCTTTTGTTTTTGTTTTTTTTACTGCACATAGATTACTTTTCTTTTTTTTTTTCTTTTTAGAGGTAGGGGGTCTCACTCTGTAGTCCAGGCTGGAGTGGTGTGATTATAGTTCATTGTAACCTCAAAACTCCTGGGCTCAAGCAATCCTCCCACCTCAGCCTCCTGAACAGCTGGGACTAGAGGTGTGTGCAACACCACACCAGGCTAATTTTTACATTTTTTTGTAGAGATGGGGGTCTTGCTATATCGCTCAGGCTGGTCTCAAACTCCTGGCCTCAAGTGATCCTCCTACCTCAGCCTCCCAAAGCACTGGAATAACAGATGTGAGCCACTGAGCCCAGCCAGATTGCTTTTAGAGTAAGGAAAAATGAAATAAGACAGGTTTAAAATTCTAGCCACAATTCTAATTAGAGAACCAGTCAATATAAATTGATATAAACTCCACAATGTCAAAATTTGCAATATATATTCATTTCAAATAAGGATTGTACTTAATTATTATCTTATTTGGGGAATCAAACACAAAAGACACCAAATGATGTAAGTTCAGGAAAGATGCTGGCTGGTTACATGACACACCCTCCACAGGAGTGTCCCTTCGAGCCATTCTGGGTGGGCTGCAGGGCTCACCGGTGCACATGGGAGTTGATACGAGGAAAGGGGAAGTGACCACCAACCTACAGCTAAAACATCAGTATCAACCACCCCATTCATTAGGGAAATTTTCCTTATTGTTAAGTGATTCCTTATTGTTAAGTGATTTATAAAGAAATTGATCTGGGTGCAAAGATTATGGGGAGAAATTATTTTCAATGATGAAAATAACCTGCAATGGGCAGCCTACTGACCTAAGCAGGTCTGTCAGAAAACATACAGATCCACATCCTAGGTGAAGTCTATTATTGATCTCTTGAGTATAATTTTGGCCAGAAACATTTCCTTATATAAAAATCAAACTGCATACACAGCATGTCCTAGGAACTGGTCTGTCTGGACATGTAAATTTGAATGGTTCTTTGAGACAACATGGCTGGGGAATGGCCACTGACCACAAGGCTAGACCAGTTTGTGCCCCTGTACTCCTACCATTCACAGTCCAGCAGACGATAAAAACGGACCTCCACGTAGCCAGCCAACTCTTCATGTGACTCCATGATCAATATGAGTCTCAGGGAAACGATACCAAGTTCTTTCTCTGGCCCCAATTTCCATGTCCCTTTCCAAAGTGGTGATACCAGTGCTGACCCACAGCCATGAGCCAAACCCCACTGAAAACGGGCAAAATCCATTGTTGTCCTTCCTTCCTAAATAGCCAGATGATAAATTAGTAAGTCATTAAAGATTAAATATACTGAAAATTTCTACAGATCATCATCTTTCCATGTATCACCAGCCCATGTAATATGGAAACATGTATTCCAGAAATTCAGCTCCTGGGTTGCACAACACACAACCAGAAAACAACACAAGATGCATACTCTCATTATTTAAAAGAGATTAAAATATAGTAATGTTTATTTTCATTTAAAAAATACATTGTAATAACTGTAGGAATGTTATGATACAGCTTATTACAAAACGGAGTAGAAAGAACACAACAGTGTACAACATAAAAAAACAAAAGTTCGTAATAGTTAGCAAATCATTCTGCTTAGCCAAATATTCCTTGGTTATCTTAAAGGATGTCTGTAACTTTTTAAATCAAAGAGGGAGGCAGAGGGAGGGTGCAGAGTGCGTGTAGAAGATTCCGAGTTCGCCAGTGAAGCGTGGCAGTGCTCTGGCGCAGAATCACGTGAGGTCACGACAGGACGTGCTCCAGGACCCCTTGTCTGATCAGCTGCTCACACTTCCACCGAGGTAAAAAGTGCTGAGGGGAACGGGGGTGAGGGAAAAGTCAGAGAAACGCTTGGGAAAGAATGTGAAATTACTTTTGGCATCATTAAAAAGCAACACTGATTAGATAGTTTTCAAACTCCAATAGTTAAAAAGTTAAACTCAACTATACGAGCGTATTTACAATTTTAATCCACTGATAAATGGATGTCACTTAGACCTGTACTGAATTCTGATTTTTATAAATGAATTCATAGTTTACTTAAGTTCAACTAAAAAATTCTGAATTCTAGTAGATATTTTCCTTACTGTTTGCAGTTTTAAGTTACACACAGAAAAACTTAGATAGGTGAGATCTTGGGCACTGGGTTATAACTGGTCCAGCAGCCAATCAGGAAGACCAAGGAAAGGAACATCTCTATGAAACTGCTCTAGGATTTGAGAGTCTGAACATTTATTCTTCTAATAATAACACTGACAACTTTTCTCCTGTATTTTTCAAGGACTGAAAGTGTTTGAAACCTACAATGTGGGTTGCTGTTCACATGCTGTGTGTGAAGATGCTGCTACCCAGCTAATTGTCCCGTGTCCTCCAGAGAGGACACCACTCTTGCACTCAGGGAACCAAAGGTAGGTGGAAAGAAATCTCCTTTCCTCCTTAGCACAGAAGTGAACATTTACTGCACCCCAGAGTATAAGGGTGGAAGGTGGTACTGTTATGGGAACATGTACAGCTAGTGTTGCAGCTCTTGTGACAGCGCTTGACAGGGGAAAGAACGGAGCGGCCCACAAAGAGTCAGAGAACCGTCTTTATTCCTCTGGCAGGCTCAGCCAACTTCTGACTTCTCTCTTCTCAACTTCTGATCACCCCTTTCTTTGTTCTCCTCCTGCTTTTATACCCTTGGTAGGACTCCAAAAAGCGTCTAATGAGCAACAAGCTTTACCATCCAATGAGCAACAGTGGGATTCAAAAAGTGCCCAATCAGGATCATGGAGCCAGTGCAGCTGGAGCACAGGCCAGGACAGCAGGCGGGGCCGGGCGGCACGCCCTCCAACTGAACGGCGCAGTGCTGGCCCATGCAGAGTGACAGGGAGGCGGGAAGCAGCCACGTCCTAGCGCCCCATGTTTTCCGTCAGTACAGGAAGCAAGGCAGGAAGACTTTCCAAGCTCATGGATAGTCAAAGAAATCTTAAAAGATTTCAAGGAAGCAAAATATACCATTGGTGGCATTGTGCACCAAAGGTCCTGCTGCACAAACCCAAAGGCCTAATGGGAGGCTGGTGACCAAATACTTCTAAACTAGTCATGAAGACACACAGGCCAAGGACTGTTGTCTAACTTAACTGAATCTTTAACAAGCCTTAAAAATGTAAAAACAAACAAACAAACAAAAAAAAAAACTTAGTTGTTCATTTAATAGTTATTGGAATGCTGTTATTCAAAGGAGGGGGAATTCTGATTTCTAGACAGAAAGAAACAATACTTGCCACATTGACAAGTATAAAAGAATATACATTAAGAAAACATATCCCTACTAATCTAATGCTTTTACATTATTTGAATGATAGACACCACAGATTCTATAGCAAATTGATATAGATGTGGCTGGACATTAGAAGTCCTTTCTTATCAACTATGGTTGATTATAAGGGCTTTTTTTTTTTTTTTAACGTCTCCAGCTTTATAATTGAGGATAGAGTCACAGCTCAGAGACAAAAGCATCACCAAGAGGAAGGTTTTTACATGGTCCACACAGAAAATGAAATGGCCCAGCACAGAAGCAACCATGCACACTGGTGGGCAGATCAGTCATGAAGCTTGAGAAAGAAATTCAACCACAGAGCAGTGTTTGGGATGAAGGGACATTTTGCATATCTTGCTTTAGGAAGATGACTTAGTTCATGTGAACCAGAGCTTCCTTCTGGGTCTTCCAGAAACACAAATTCTTATGAGAGTATTCATTTGTCATCTTTCAATTCATTAGCGTCCTACTTCTAAGAGAACACTTGGGAGTGAAATTGTTGCCTTAATAACCAAAGACTTCAGGGTAGCCTCAAAATCTGTTTTTAAAATATTCAATCTTTATTTTAGAAAACTATTTAAAGCTCCAAGGGTACTAGTAAAATAAAAGAACAACTCACCCTGTGTTAGGGAAATAAGCCCAAGGACCATATGACCGGAGGCATTCTTTTGCTCCCCAAGATCAACAAAGTGAGCACCAGTGACTTAGGGTCATTAGATAGTAGCTGGCTATACCAAGAGAGCAGGCAAGGAAAGAAAGTGGCTTTTATGAGGTCATTTGTCAGAAACTTCAAAAAATTGAGATAGGAGAAAAATAAATTTAGCTATGTGGATTTGAAGATTTCTAAGGAAACAATAAATATATTGAGATTGTTTATGAGGAAAAATTTAGCTTAAACCACAACTTTACAATTTTAATCTTTCCGTTAGATTCTGCTATGTTTATATAATAACTACTTAGAAATTCTTGATCTATATCATTGTTTCCTAAAGAACTAGGATTTATAAAGTGAAGTATGAGCTAAAATGAGTGATTAGCTAGCACCTTTTTTATAAATGTAAGCTGATAAAGGAACTAAATCCCAGTTTAGCAGCCTCTGGATAGTTACCTACCACTTAACCAGAATAAGGCCCATTGTGATAACTGCCCTAGAAAATGCTTAGTTTTTTTTTTTTTTTTCAAGAGTCTCATTTTGTTGCCCTAGCATCATCGTAGCCCATTGCAACCTTAAACTCTTGAGCCTACGCGATCCTCTTGTCTCAGCCTCCTGAGTAGCTGGGACTATAGGTGTGTGCTACTATGCCCAGCTAATTTTTTCTATCTTTTGTAGATACAGGGTCAGGGTCTTGCTCTTGCTAAGGCTGATGTTATCCTCCTGAGCCCAAGCCATCCTCCCACCTCAGATTCCCAGAGTGCTGAGATCACAGGCGTGAGCCACCACGCCCGGCTCCCAATATTTCTACCCTTAGTACTCTTACAAGATTTAAAGTAAAGTATCTGAAGACAAGAAATACCTGGCTGTTTTTTTTCAATAGGATGGAAGTGCCATCATCAACTTCAAATTCTCCATAGTCTTTTAGACACCGGACCTGAAAGGAAAAACTGATGCTTTATCTAAATTATGTTTTAATATGTAGTGACCAAAAAGTAAACAGGCATTATATAAATACCCACACAGTAAAAAGTACTAGACTTTCTGTTTGTTTCCTCTCTGTGTGCCTAGACTCAAGACTACCATGTGGTACTCTCATGGTTCCACTTTTCCTGTTGTGACAGGGAGGGAGAAGAGTGGCAAAATCTCTCAACATGTACGTGTGTCATTGTTGACAGCAAGGAAGCCCAGGGAGCTGGGCAAGAGAGACAACATCGATGGATCCTTTCCCCTCTGCAAATCCTGAAAAATTAAGCAGGTGAAACATCTGTCTACAATGTACATTTTAGATCTGTTTCAGCCTGCTTCTTATCAACCCCTGCCACAAAATATCAGTAACTGAGAAGAGGGCACAGGCAGGTCTGTAAACTTGTTGGAAGAGATTCTTCCAATCACCTCTAATATTCACATTCTTTTCTAGGAATACTTAGAAGTACACCGTGAAAGAGCAGATGCAGCCTTACAGGACAGGATTTAGGAGAGACTCTTAGTCCCAAGGTGGGAGGGTGAGGCAGCCTTCTGATAGCCACCTCTGCAACTGCAGACAAGGACATTCAAAGGTGTCTCCAGGTGCATGCTGCAGACCTGGCTACAGCACTAAGTGCTGCCACAGGAAATAGGGCGGACATTTTTCCTCTCCTGTGAGAACTCAGACTGGAGTTTATTCTCCAGAGTAAGAGTACTGACCTGCTGCTGCCTTCAGCAGAGCCGGCTCCAGCAGCAACCCTGTCGTCTGCTCTTCCAGATAGCATCGTCACATCCTGTGAGTCCTCCAAATTTCACCATAATTCCCAAAGCATTTTAACTTAATATGAAAAATACTACTCTAGAAGCCTCTCACCACACACACCTATTTGGATCTGTAAATAAACCATTACTTTGGAACATCTTGAAAATATTCAATAGTAAAAAGACTACTATGATGACATTCCATGGTCCTTTCAACTGGCTTCAATAAATATCAATGTGTGGTCAAACTTGCTCCCTTCATCTACTTCTGGACTATTTTGAAGCAAACCATAGATATCATTTCATCATTAATAACAATATAATTGTAATAATCTTAATAATTTTTAATACCATGAAATATCTAGTTAGTACACAAGTTTCCAAGTTGAAATCAGAATCCGACAGAGCTATACATTACACGTTTTTGACATATCTCGTAAGTCTCTTTTAATCTATAAGTTTCCCTTCCTCTTTTTTATGTTTTTCCTTCCATGTGGCAATTTATTTGTTGAAGACACTGGGTGGGTAGTTTGGTATAATTTCCCACAACCAAAATTTTGTTGTGGATTTTTGGGAGGTCATTTCACATGTCCCTCTCTCTGTCCCTGAATTCCAAAAAACTAGAAATGAGGTCAAGAGGCTTTATCAGCTAAGGTGTGATTTTTTTTTGGCCAGTGGTGTCATGTACTTCCTGTTACAAGGCCACACAAAGCACAAAGTGGCTGTCTCTCTTTGGGTGTTGACTGATCAGTGGGTCTGGGTGCCATCCATACGTGTGCATATCCATGCATTATAAAGTTTTCCATAAACTATTCACTAAAAGGTTTTAGTAGCTAAAGGTTACAAAATGGCTTTAATCTAGTTCTTTTAATCCTGATGCATCTGTTAGGGTGATTCTTCTATAAAAAAGAAATTCCCATGGTAAACTACTGGGCTACACTGAGACAGGGTTTGTACAGTAAAGGCAGATGGGTGCTCAATTCCGTTCTCTATTAGTTTAGTGCAAAAGTAATTGTGGTTTTAGCATTGTTGGAATTTGCTGTTTGATATTAGAATATATTCTTACATAAATATGGTTATGTTATACATTTTAATGCCCATTTCTTGCTTTATTTTTTTTGCTAATGATTTACTACTTGCTGTTTATTTTACATTTATTTTAGACTATGGAAATGATATTAGACAAAAAGCAAATTCGAGTGATTTTCTTATTTGAGTTACAAATGGGTCATAAAGCTGGGAGACGACTTGCAACATCAACAACACATTTGGCCCAGGAACTGCTAATGAATGTACAGTGCAGTGGTAGTTCAAGAACTTTTGCAAAGGAGACGTGAGCCTTGAAGATTAGGATGCAGTGGCCGGTCATTGGGAGTTGACAATGACCAATTGAGAGCAATCACTGAAGCTGATCCTCTTACAACTACAAGAGAAGTTGCTGAAGAACTCAAGGTTGACCATTCTATAGTTGTTCGGCATTTGAAGCAAATTGGAAAGGTGGAAAAGCTCGTTAAGTGGGTGCCTCATGAGCTGACCAAAAATTAAAAAACTGTCGTTTTGAAGTACCATCTTCTCTTCTTGTACAAGACAACAAGCCATTTCTCCATCTGATTGTGACATGTGATGAAAAGCAGATTTTATACTACAACCAGCGAAGACCAGCCCAGTGGTTGGACTGAAAAGAAGCTCCAAAGCACTTTCCAAAGCCAACCTTGCACCACAAAAAGGTCATGGTCACTGTTTAGTGGTCTGCTGCTGGTCTGATCCACTAGTTTTCTGAGTCCTGGTGAAACCATTACCTGTGAGAAGTATGCCCAACAAATTGATGAGAAGTGCCTAAAACTGCAACACCTGCCCCTGGCACTGGTTACCAGAAGGGGCCCTAATTCTTCTACACAACAAGGCCCAATTGCACGTTGCACAACCAGTGCTTCAAAAGTGAACGAATTAGGCTACAAAGTTTTGTCTCATCTGCCACATTCACCTGACCTCTCGCCAACTGCCTACCACTTCCTCAAGCATCTTGACAACTTTTTGCAGGGAAAATGCTTCTACAACCAGCAGGATGCAGAAAATGCCTTCCAAGAGTTTGTTGAATCCCAGAGCACAGATTTTTATGCTTAAAGGAATAAACAAACTTATTTCTCATTGGCAAAGATGTGTTGATTATAATGGTTCCTATTTTGATTAATAAAGATGTGTGTGAGCCTAGTTATAATGATTTAAAATTCACAGTCCGTCCGAAATCACAATTACTTTTGTACCAACCTATATACCATCTTCAAAAATGAGCTGGATCCCTTTTCTCCAAGGAGACTCCAAAAGTTTTATTTTTTAAATTTTTATTGTTTGATGTCATTATGCATTCATGCTTCTAACATAACTGATATAATCCAATTCACTACAGTTATTCCTTGTTTTGATGCTCAAACTGCCCACTCTCTGGCCAGTGACAGCTCCTTTAAACCGGCTCCCAAGTCTTTCCAGCACTCCCCACAGAGTCCTTGGTGCTTTCCTTCCTTTCTGGGAAGACAAGGTATTACACGCTCAGCTTGTACATTTTTTATTCAAGACCTGCAGTCAGCCATTTTCTTTTTTTTTTAAGGAGTCCTGGTTTCCTTTAGTGGAAAATGGCATTTAGACTCTAGAATTATGGACATTCATGGCTAACTCTGGGTTGGTTGTTGTTTCTAGGCCTTTTCAGTGGGCAGAGCTAATAAACCCCCCTCCCTTTTTTAAAAGGAGATGATTCATAAGTCCATGCTGACATTTCAAACTCAAGTTTAGGAAGATGAAATTTTCCCTTAACTTTCCCACTTAGTATTCAAATTTCTTTTCTATCATCTTGAAAAATTTTGGTTCCTAGTGACATGACATTTTTGCTCTAATTCTTCAATATGTAAACTGTTTCAAAATAACAGTAATATTATTATTAATACAGTGATTAATAATAACATGTTAAGACATCTTTACAATTTTTTTGTCCTTAGAATATATGCACTGGGAATATACAATCAACTCATGTGTTTAAAGCAATTTAAATAATTCCTGGATTCTGGGAAGATGGTAGAACAGGAAGCATCAGGAATTGGTCTCCCCACCTCAATAACTGCACTGGCAGACTCTGACTGAGGTGACTATCTTGAAACTCTGGAGCCTATTAAAGGCTTGAGGTTGGAGCTTGGACAGTAAGTTGTGTCAATTTTTGTCAATTTTGCTCTTCACATGGTAGTAACTACCCCTCCCCTGCTCTCAGCCCTGTGGCAGGCAACAATTCACGTGTTCCTGAATGAGTTCATACACAGTTTGTGGAAGCAGAGCACAGCACCTGGTGCTGACTGCCAGCTGCTGTTCCTGATCATAGCCGTGCAGACAACGAGGCAGCCAGCCATGGCTGCTGCACCTTCCCAAATGCTGCAAGCCCCTCCTCTTCTTGCTGAAGTGAATTCCAGGGGATTGAAAGGGCCAGAACCCTTTTTCTCACCCTTTCATTTTTCTCTTTTCCTCCTTTTGGGTGTCAGACATTAAAGACCAGGACATTCTAAAGCAACTGTATATACAGGGAAAATTCCAATGTGACTACACATGCCCAGGGAAAGGCATAGGCTCAGAAAAGACTTGAGAAGACCTTAAGATTATACCTCAGGCTGATCTTTGGCTCAGAGACAGCCTACAACAATCAAATAAACAAAAACAATAAAAACAGCAAACCCGCCGGGCGCGGTGGCTCACGCCTGTAATCCTAGCTCTTGGGAGGCTGAGGTGGGTGGATTGCTCAAGGTCAGGAGTTCAAAACCAGCCTGAGCAAGAGCGAGACCCCGTATCTACTATAAATAGAAAGAAATTAATTGGCCAACTGATATATATATATAAAAAAATAGCCGGGCATGGTGGCGCATGCCTGTAGTCCCAGCTACTCGGGAGGCTGAGGCAGCAGGATCGCTCGAGCCTAGGAGTTTGAGGTTGCTGTGAGCTAGGCTGACGCCACGGCACTCACTCTAGCCTGGACAACAAACCGAGACTCTGTCTCAAAAAAAAAAAAAAACAGCAAACCCTGGGGAAGGCAGAGAATCTGACTTACAGGGTTACAACATTATTAGATTTAAATGTCTGGTTTTCAACAAAAATAAAATTACAAAGCATATAAAGAAACAGAAAAGTATTGTCCATTCAAAGGAAAAAAAAATAAACAGAAACTGTCCCTGAAAA